GCGCTAGCTGGCAGCAGCGAAGGGGCCCGGGCCCAAGTAATACAAACACGGGCCGTGGTGGTCGAGGAGGGAGGGGTTGTTTTTCTGCAAGAAATTGAAAATCCAGAAATTTTGCGGGCTTGTGAAGTTTTTGTATCCTTTTTTGTGTTCGATTTGGATGTGTACTAAACAAGAACAAAACTGGGCGATACTCTTTTGTTGTAGCATTATTGTACAAGTGAAATGGGGTTCCTTCTAATCGAACATGGAAACACCGTACTTCTACTTCCACACCTACATATGAAATATTATTGAAACAACTTTATGAACATCAAAGTTGGTAGAGTAGGTCCTCCCTAATAGTTACGGATGGACTCAACTTTGTTATTAGTATTACTACACACGAAATGAACTATTCTTCCTCCCTCGCTCTCTGCAATTTCTCCAAATTAAAACCCTGGCGTCGCTTCTTCCTCTTCTCTTAGTCGCGCCGCCTTACATCCGTCGGGCGCCCCTGGGCTGCAGAGATGATTGGCTCGTGGGCGCTCTTAAGGTTGTTAGCAATTTTCGGTCACGACTCGCGGATCAGCTCTCCTTTCTCGACGGGCATCTTTTGTCGAGTTGGCTGGCGATTGGTTGTTGGTGTTGGGTTCGTGAGTGTCGTTTGTCGTCCTTTCGGTAGTCGGTGTAAAGGTGAGCAAAACCGAGCCGAATCGTGCAATTCGGTGCGGTTCGGTTCAGTTTTTTAATGTAAAAAAATTTCAGTTCGGTTTTTTCCAACGTTGCGGTGCGGTACAGTTATAGTTTTTCATAAATTCGATTCGGTGCGGTTTTGCACCGAACTGCACCGAATTGAATAAAATGTATAGAAAAACTGAAAATCGAGTCGAACCGTGCATTGCGGTGCGATTCGATTCGGTTATTTTAGTGTAAAAAAGTTCAGTTCGGTTTTTTCCTAGATTGTTGTGCGGTTCGGTTATTTTTTTGCTAAGTTCAGTTTTTCGATTTTTGCGGTTCGGTGTGGTTTTTCACCGAACTGCACCATTGATCATCCCTAAGACGGTGCTAGGTTCAGCGGTGTCACCTCTCTTGGAGTCCATTCATTTGGGTGGGGGTTGTCGTTCTCCTCCGGCGGGCTGGGATTTGTATGGGGTTCTTTTGGTTTTGGGTGTCGTGATTGTTGTCGGAGTTGTATTGGGGGTGGGATATTGGTTGGGTCCCAGAGCTGTTTTATGGGGGTGGCTTGCTTGAAAGGAGGCTTCGGCTTTGTAGATTTGGGTTGAGTTAGCAAAACCTTTTGAGTGTCGGAGTTTGGAGTTGCGAGACTTGTGTCTGGGGCTTTGATCCTGCTTTTTTCGGGCTATCCTCGATTATCTTTCGCTTGGTAGGGTGTTCGTTTCTAGTCGGTAGTGAGGAGGTTTATTTTATTTTATAGTTTAGGTGTGTTGTATTTTTTGCGTGTTTTTCTTCGAACTTTTGCATTTCAGTCCAATTGCGTCTGGATTTGTCTCTTTCATAAAGTTTTTTGTCCATTTTTTGGAGTTCCTGTAATTGGATGTTAGTCTAATTTATAGAGTTTATTTGTCTCATTTTTGGAGATTCTGTTTTGTTTGCGGGTGCTTATACTACTTGGTTGCCTTTATAATTCCAAGGGGGCTGGTCTAGACTTTGCTCCCAGTGAGGTCATTTAACACGCTGCCTCCTTGAAAGAGAGGTGTCCTAAACCACTAGAAGATGGGGGCCCAATTGCGAGACTTCTTGGCCGAGTTCAACTACAAGCCTGGAAAAGTTAATGTGGTAACTGATGCACTTTTAGTGGCAAAACCAAACATCTTTGATGCAGTCATAGATTCTCCCGAGAGTTCACAATTGCCGCGAGCAACATCTGCTCTCTCGACCACTCACCGGGGGCACTCCTAACCCAAAATGGCATCACTTTCAGTGTATTTCTTTTGAGTTTTTCAAATTTGTGATAATTTATCGTTTTGTGAAAAAAAAAATACTACATATGAAATGGAGACCAAAGGTACATGATACTTCATTTTGATTAGACAACAAAGAGTAATAATTTATAAAGATTGGATTAACTTGTAGTTATGTTTTACGTTTCTAAACTAAATTATAGGCAGGTTTGTTTGCCATTTCTAAAATCTTTTTAAGATTTGATAAATTATAAATTTCACTCCAAATGTCAACTACAATTTAAAAGTTTTTTTTTTTTTATAAATTTTAAAAAATCTGAAATCTAAAAAAATCTCAAAATTTTACTCAAAATTTCAAACGAATACCCCGCTGCATGTTTGTATACGACATATCCAAAATACACTTTTTGTCTTTATGCACAACCATAAAACATTACTAACAAGCAACATCTACATCTACAAGTTTATATGGACAAACAAAGTGGATATAATTTTTTTTGTGAATTTCTATTTATCGCCCCCTTTTACTACTGTTTGGTATAGATTTGATGGACAAGGGATAACCGAGCTACCCGACTCGGGTCGATCTCGAAGGAAGGCTATTCGGAGCTTCGTCTACTAAATGATCGTCCAAATCACAAAAATCGAAAATAAAATCCTAAACATTCTAAACAATTGATTGGATGGTTGATTAACACTACTTGAGCACTTAAAAACGAGCAATTAATTGAAAGCAAGATCAAAAGATGAGCATATCGCAAACTAGATCACCGGAGTCTCATACCATAACCAATACGAGATGATAATCAATCGACATACGGAATAAACGAGCTACGAGCATTAGATTGCTAATCCTAGTCGTCTAACCGAGATCAACAAGTAATTAACGGCTCTATCTACTCAAGCAAG